TCTCTGTCCTGCACGTTAATGATGCCCACCTCTGTACCAGGTGACGCGTTCTCAGGTATGGGGTTAGATATTGATTTCAGATTTATAACTGGTGCATTATCATTTACATCCGTAATCTCAATTAACAGAGTAGCATATGATGCTAATCCCAAACCATCTTTCGCAGTAATCTGGATTTCATACGACGATTCCTTTTCATAATCAATTGCTCCAGCCACTCTCACTGCTCCTGTTTTAGGGTCCAAAGAAAAATCTTGTCTTTCCTCAGAGACGTGGTCAAACCCATAATTAACTTCACCATTTACACCTTCATCTGCATCTGTGGCGCTAACTGTGAGAACAACAGTATCCAGAGGGGAGTTTTCGTGGAGACTAGCCTTATAGACATTCTGACTAAAAACCGGGACATTATCATTAGCATCCAGTACAGTGACGTGTATGACCACAGTGCCTGATCTCTGTGGAGAGCCTCCATCGAAGGCGGTAAGTAACAGCGCAATCTCTTTTTTGTCTTCCCTGTCTAGTTCTTTGTCTAAGACTAGTTCGCCATATTTTCTCCCACCACCTTTAGATTTAACGTTTAATCTGAAGTGATCATTTTGCTGAAGTGAATAACCCTGAACAGCATTTTCTCCGATGTCTGCATCGTGAGCTTCATCTAGGGGAAAGCCTGTACCTTTGTCTGCCAGTTCGTGTATTTCAAAGTTGAGTGACTCCTCCTTAAACTGAGGTGAGTTATCGTTGATATCTTGAACGCGAATATGAATGCGGTGCAATTCCAAAGGATTTTCCAGCACTAGCTCCTGTTTCAGAACACACGACGCCTTTTTCGCACAAAGCCCCTCTCGGTCGATCCTTTCTTGTACAATTAACTCGCCAGTATTGAGATTTACGCTGCAGTACTTGACACCACTATCCTCTGTATCTATACGAGCTTTTCGAGCGGACAGTCTGCCCAAATCGAGTCCCAGATCCTTAGCGATATTTCCAATTATAGATCCACGTGTCATCTCCTCCGGGATAGAGTAGCTCATGTCTCCGATGACAAAGCGGAGAGAAAGAAAAATAAAAGCAAGGCCGCAGTGCAGCGCAAATATGGTGTATCCCATTGTTACCATCAGAAATGGCACATGAGAGGTAAACATAAAATCAAGACAGTAAAAATGTCCAAAGAATCTTTAAAGTCACTGTGAAACTGGAGTCATACGCGAGGAG